AAGCATTTTGTTAGTAAATTAATAATTAAAAGCTAAACTATTTATTAAAAAAAAAAAAAATAAAGATTGACTTATTTTACACAGTCGACTTATATTTTGGTTCGTTGATTTTTTACTTTGTTGATTTATTTATACAGTTGATTTATTTTTTTTATGTTCGTCGACTTAATATTCAGCTGTTGACTATATTTTGTTTGATTGATTTTTTACTTTGTCGACTTGTTTAACCATTGACTTATTTTTATGTTCATCGACTTAATATTCAGTTTCATCGACTTATTTTAAATTGTTGACTTATATTTTGTTTGATTGATTTTTTACTTTGTAAACCTGTTTAACCATTGACTTATTTTATTTTTTTTGTCGACTTAATATTCAACTTCNTCGACTTATTTTAAANTGTTGACNTATATTTTGTTTGCTTGACATTTTAAGTTATCGACTTATTTAAACCACTGACTTATTTTTGTTAATTCGTTGACTTAAAATTTTGTTTCATCGATTTATTTTAAACCATCGATTTATATTTTGATTGATTGATTTTTTACCTTGTCGACTTATTTAAACCATTGATTTAATTTTTTGTTCATCGACTTGACATATTATTATATAAATTAATTAAATTGTAAATTGTAAAATTAATTAAAATCAATTTTTTAGATATTTTATCAAGAACTTTTTTTACTAGATTATTAGATTATCAATAGATGGTTATATATTAGTTTTAAATATTATAAATCAATTTTTAAATAAAAACTAGAAAATTAAATCATTTTTTTTCTAACTTAATCTTGTTAAATAAGGATATAATTGTCATTTCAACTCTTAAAATATGGTATTTTTCAATGTGTAACAAATTTGGTATAGATTTCAAATTTTCAATAAGATTTAGGGTATACAAGCCAATTTTCTTTATTTTTTTTTGGTTATTTATTAAAAAAGCCCTATTTTTTTTATTAGATCCACCATTAATTAAGAATAACTCAATAAAGTGACGTGAAGCTCTCTTTTTTTTTTTATCTAAAGAGTTAATTGAGGGTTTTCAAATATAGCGAATAATTAGTTGTTAAATAAACAATGAAAATAAAATCTAAGGTAATATATTCAGCGTTTTAATCAATTGTTTTTAACATTTTTTTAGTCGGAAATAGTCTCAAGTTTTTTGTCTTCCTCTTTTATAAACAAGAACACAATTAATTGATAAGTAATCTTTTATTTATAATTTTGTTCATCTAACGTTAATTTTGATTTTTTATCTGTTTAATAATAAGCCAAACATGATTTGAAATTTAATAAACTGTAAAAAAAATATGATTTCTAATTTTAAGATATTGTTGACAATTCTAGTTTCAGTTGCATTTGTAAAAAAAATTCGCCTCCCATCTTCATATATCTAGCCACGGCTTTGATAATTAGATAATTTATAGTAGGGACAATTGC